CGAATATGTTGTCTATAAGCGAATCTACATCTTCGCTCTGATCACTAGTAAGATTAATCTTTCGAGTGTCTGCCTCTCTGATTTTCCAATTAGTCTTAATGGTAGTGATCTTATCGTTTATATGTAGATTTCATTGTTGAATAGACGGATTGTTGATGAACACAAATCTATGATACCAGTAAACTTTGACATTGAAGCTTAGTGTACCATGGGAGATTTGTGTCTTTTGCGAGGAGGAGGGGTAGTATTTCCTTTGTTAAGTTTGGTTCAACTGAGGTGAATAAGACTGTTACATCGAACGATAACATTAATTCGTTGTTGATCTGAATTTCCCTAACCTTAGACAAGAATCCTAGTGAAGATTCGACGGAGGGATTGAATGAATCCAATAAATGTTTCAATACTCTTGAAATTTTTCTCCATAAATTGTATGTTGGGTAGAGTGATATAGATGGATGTAGTGGGATAATTGGTTTTCGTATTTTTGGGATTCATTAAAATCAAGGGAGTACTGATCCGTAGAGTTTTATTCTCCATTGATTTTGCTTTGATTTTTATCCTGCATTGACAAGCTTGTTTAAAGTCCTTGAGGATCTGTTGTCTAAGCTTTCGATTCGATGTGTGTCCATTGATCTATATACGCATTTTATATTCAAGTAACTTTTCGCCTTTCATTATATATTCTTCATTGTCTATAATTACTGTATTGCGTTGTTTGTCCCCTGGAATTATTATAGTATCTTCTCTAGTTCTGAGTTTCTTAAAGACATTTTGTTCTTGTTCAGTCAGTTGAGTTTTGTCTTTATTCCGTCGAGTTAGAAGTACTATGGTTTGTCTTATTTCCTATTGAGTTTCTTTATTTTTGTGCGATGACTCCAAGGCAGAGAAGAATTCCAGTTCTGAAGCGTCATTTGTATTGTAGTTCAATCATATTCGGAGTAAGTGTTCTTCTATGTTGTTGTTTTGGAAGGTTGACCACTCAGTGTTTTCTTCTGTGAGTAGTTTTCAAATACTGACTAGCTTTTTAGAGTTTCGTTTTGTTTTCTGTATCGTCTGTTTCATATCCTGATGTGATTATCCTCTCTAGCTTTCTCTTTTGGTCATCCATGATGTGTTGGTTTTGTGGATCCTGTAGTTTGAATCAATTATAATAAGGTGTACCATTTGACTTACACTTTACTCAGCTATTCCTTGTTCAATTCGGAAGTTGATTAGTGGTCTGTATCTTACACGTTTTGGCAGGACAAGCTGACGAAGACACTCGTGAGGAAAATATAGTTTTTATCGAGTAGATACCCGTCTTTCAGAGAATTTCTCCCATTTCCGAACAGCGAGGAGCGTGCCACGCACATACGATTTTCAGATGGTGGAGAAGATTTGTAGTTCAAGTGAATGACCCAGGTGGAGTTTTTCCTCTAAGTCGGATGGTTTGGTCAGCAGAGCTTCAAACTGTTTTCTCCAGAAAAAAACCCATTCAGGAAAGTGTCAAGGATAATATTATACGTAGTATGAAAAGATAAAGTGAATATTTAAAAAAATGATCAGTCACAGCTTTATGATTGTTGGGTTACTGTAATTATGTTTCTACTATACAGTGTTTATCATTTTTACATATCTACCAGTCAAGTTACACAGAATATAACACATTTCCATACGTTTAAGAATTATACATAAATAAGAACATATAAGCAAATATTTTCATAGTAGATATATATATACAAATGACACACTATAAACAAAAATGTGAATCTAAAATTTGGCACACATTGTTTGGATTTAATTAATTATAGCACAAAAAAACCACAATAAAACAAAACAACTGATGTATCGGGAAGTTAAATAGATAACTTATGTAATTAATTATAGACATAGCAGGTTTGATTCTTATTCAATATATATCTTTACAAACAGTAACAAAACAAACAAAAAAGTATTAGTTTAGTTGATGAAAAGAAATACTGTTTAACCTTATTAACTAAAATTCTTGATCTTAATGTACTCATATCTAATATTGACTTTTATCATCTGATGAAAATAAGAGAAAAATTGTTCACTATTTATTTTGATTAAATATATGTTCCTATGAGAAAGTATGTTTTCTGTTGAAATCAATTTATAATTGAAAGAATTCAGTCTGATATTTTTTAGGAGATCGTCCGATAAATTTAGAGTGAGAAACAGTGAAACACTAATGATCATTTATTCATTTGAGAAGTTATGATTATTATTATTAGCCTTTCGTACATGTGGCATCAAGCCACAATCTAAATGTGAGGGCTAATGATACGATCTATTTGATCAAACCGAAGTAGAACAAGATTTGAACCTAGGACTTAGTGACTAAAAATCAAATGTCATAACTAGTGAGCAATCGCTCCACTTAGTACAAGACTATCTAAACATCAGAGATAAGTAGTGTAATATTTAAGCGCGTTAATCCAATGACTGGGTGAAAAATTTTTAACCACAAAGTCATCATTTCATTTAAATGTTAATCATAACATATTGCAAAAATGTTTTGTAAAATGTAATTACTGTATGTTATCTGTTTTGAAATCTATTAAACCTAATTTAGTTTGAACAGTTGGATAGTAGTATTACTAGACTTCACATCAATCATTTACTTTGTCTCCATTAATTAAATGAATTAAGTTATTGTCAGTTGACCATCGGAAACAACCGAATGTTAATTCAAGGAAATCTGGCAGCTTAGTGCTTGCTTGCTTGTTTTGGAGTTTTACTTGAGTAGATTATTTCATTTTATTTCTTAATTATTTTTATAGAAGAATACATCCCCAAATGGTATTACAAAACTTAGCTTTTCGCAGCTACAAACAATATCAGTAATCAAGATAGATATTTTGAATTGTACTATATCGTATACATAATACTCTAATTTAGTTGTAAAATCTACACTTAACTAAACTGATTAATTGAAAATATATCGTGTCAATGTTCTTAATTTTCTAAATGATAAGATATGTATATTTATTGATTATATATTAGTTCTACAGAGTACCTATTATATAATTAAAATTGAGACTTCATAAAAAAATTCTAAAATGAGAGAGTCAAATTAGGTGCGTTTTGGAAGTTTTCTTCGTTTCTCTTTTTTTGCGGGTATTACAAAATTTAAATAGTTCGAAAATGTTTGTATGTTGACGAGAGCTGAAAAGCGCTCAAAATTACTTTCACCTAATCAGAAAAATCTACAGATAAATCTAGAAACTGACTCATTTATTTACTCTCTTAGCCCAATCTGTCAAGCAGTCTGATCATTAATAATATTAGCATTTTTTTCAGAAGCCTCCAAAACTAAAAGTTTAGTGGTAACAATACGAATAAGCTTAGTTCTATGTAGTTAAACGAATTTCTCAAATAGGCCTTCAGTCTAATTCTCAGTATCTGACTATATAAGAGGTTCATGAGTCACAGATTTCTTGGGAAAAAATATTGGTTAGAAAGTTAATGTTGCAAATGCCTAATGTATCATGCATGACACAGACTTATTTTCTTAAAATCACTATTAGGATTTAGATTTCATTTTTATTTTTGTAATTTTAACTTATAGTAGACTGACTTGTTTAACTCACCTGTAGAAATCTGGGTGATCTTAACAATTAAACTAAATTACCTGGAAAAGTTCAAATACACTCCATTGAAAATGCTATAGCTGATGATCAACATAAATACCTATGAAAAATCAGGCCTCGATATCGTTGATATTTTAGAAAATATTAAAGTCCGAATAGAAAATATTGTCCAACGCTCAACTTCATTAGTCATATAATAAAATTGGTCTCAGTCACTACTACTACTACTACTATTCAACGTTTAAATCTGTTTTTGAATATCAATCGTACCAAATAATTACTATCAGCATATTAAGTTTGAAATTTTATAAGAGACTAAAACTATCCCTAACTTAAATCAATCAGTTCATAGCATCATCATGAATATTAAAAAAAAAACAGAAGTAAACTGCAAGGACTAAAGACTTTTCGAAACTATGTATACTTAATGCATAGTAAGTAACTAGTCGATTATCAAATACAAGTTTATTTGATCGACTCTGATGCACTTTTTTGTAAATGAAACACGTTGATACTACCCAATGACCCCAAACCGAAGCATCCGGAAAGGGTTTTGAACTAATAATCACGTGGTCGAAAGTCACTGCTCTACTGATTTATGTACAAAGTATCTATGTATATTTGCACGTTACGAGTCAAGAAACAATTAAATTAAACATAGTTGTCACTCATATTTGTATATCAATGTGTTTTCAGGAATTAGCTACGTTTTAAGTACTCTATTAATTATTATTCATAAATTAGAAAAATGTCCTTCTAATGGAATTCACATTATACTTTAAAAGGTCAATTTTTGATAAAGTAGAATCATGTAAATCACTTTCTTGTAAATCACTAGAACTATATTCAGAACATCTTCACAGTGTAGTAAACCCATCCAACTATTGTATTATTTATCCGCTCACTGTAATTTAGACACTTGATCCACTATGTAAAATTCTGTGTGTCTGATTGAGCACATGTCAATTTTTAATCTATTCTCCCATGGATTGTAATACACAGACGATCAATAATTTATTCACACTTGATTAACACTCATAAATATATATGGATTTTTAACACTCACTCACACACACATACTCTTTATTTCCCTGTGTGCTTGCTTCGTGTACGCTTGCGGATTTTACCAATCTTTAACAATAAACTATCTCTATAATTGATGTTCAGGCTTTTGAATAGTCTCGAGTAAATCCGTAATTCTACTAGGAGATTTAGCCTGCATTAAATACTCAGTTAACGGATAACTATTTATTGGAGTCAGATATAGATGATACTAGCCTCTACAACAGTATTAGTTCAGAATGAAAAGACATTCTTCAGAGAAACCGAATCTCTCAGGAATGAAATATAGTTTTAAATGATGAGAATATAATTTAAAAATAATAAATTACAAAATTTTTTACTCACCAGTTCACTATGTCCATTCACCTTTTGACCAGATGTAACTGAATCAAAAATTAATGACAAAGCATGCACAAAAATCACCAAGTTGGTTTATCTTCGAAAATAGATATTTTATTCAGTAGTTTAAATGTTACAAAACATTAGAGTAGAAGAAAAGTTCGTTAAAATCAACTAAATTTTGATTAGAAAATGATGAGGATAGAAGCATAGAGTATATTGTCAGTTAAGACTGGAAGATCAGTAAAAATAGTTAGGTAGATATATTAAGGGGGCGAATTTTTCTACAGACTGGCAGAAGTTGGGGAACTATTTGAATAATACCCGCAAACGATCAACTTAACAACAATCATCGGCTTACTGGTGACCAATTTTAAGAACTATTGTTGAATTTCTATTGAGAAACAGTGCGTGGTTTAGTTCAACTATGTCATGGAATACACAGAAATCGTAAGTGATCATAAATGAACGTCATATTGTTTCTGTTATAACACTCGGTTTTACTTCGTCTAATGTTATAACGGTTGGGTTTCCACGTTACTTATGGGACGTTAATTTACCTTAGACGAATATCTACACTAGATTCCCTCCCAGTGTCTATTCTACAGGACTTCAATACAACTCAGATCAAGAACACGTAATTAGCCTGACCACAACGTAAATATATTTCCACATCAAACACTGACACAATCCGACAACAATGAACAATCAATAATAAGTGCGTCACAATAATAAGGATAAGGGCATATATAACTTATCTGACACCTGTCAGACTATCTACATGTCTGACTAAGCAGACAACCAATCATGATCATTCTCGCCCACACAGTTTCCAAAAGTCTAAAGTTATAAATAAAAACATTTGAACCTCACTTCAGCGATTCAAAGGTTACGCACTCCCCTGGATTTCAAAAGATCCTGGTCTTAGTCCTATGGAAGAGGCATATTTATTCACTGCTTGAAATAAGACGAAACAGCTGTTTAGTGCTTCTTGATTTTCAATGAATAACTTTTTTTCATTTGGTTTTAAAATTATTAGAAATCCAGTATACAAATTCTTGATTATAAGTAGCTAATATATGTCAGCTGAGGTGTGTTGCATATATTTGGTATGTCTATTAAACTTATCGACATTAGGTTTAACTCAATGATATATTAAAATATTAATGCTTATAAATGAAAGCCATCCAATGGTCTTTGTATCCTATTCTCAGTGAAAACTGATATTTACTTTGATGTTTTGCCGACTAATATGAGAACCTAGATTCAAAATGAAATCTTTGTCTAGAACAAATTGCTGAATAAAGTTTTAAACAAATTGGTATCTTGAATCTAGTAAATTCTTTATAAAAATATTATTCTTCAATGATTTTGTGACGATGATAATTTCAACAAAAAATTAAAGTTAACTTGTGAACTGCAGATTCGACTTGATTGACTTCATTGATCACAGCTTCCTGTTATAAACGTGGGCAAATCTACTTCGAAGTTAGACATCGATGGGTATATAACATTTACTTACGTACATTTCATGGATGTTTTATATCATTTATGAGTAATTTTTATCACAAATCGGAACTATTTAGAGAAGTAATAGAAACTAGAGAGTATTAAATAATTGTTTTGTTCTGGTTCAAGAATAAGCAGTAAATATTATTCATTATATTTGTTTGAAAAAGTATTATGCTGGATTCCAATCGAGTAGTGAAATAGTTGAGACATCGTCGCGGAACATCATAATTTTGAATTCGATTACTAGAGGGTCATGGATGAGAACTATTACCAGGTCCTATACTAGAATCAAACAATCATTCAATGCATCCCACTTTCAGGTGGTAACTCAGCAAAGTCAGTGTATGACGAATACCACCTTTAAATGAGACAAATATCCACAAAAACTATTCAATTATATTTGTAATGAACAATTTACCTGGAAAATATTTTATTAAATTAATTAAACATGAGAAATACTAACAAAGATATCTGTTCATACACTACTGATCAATCTTAATATTATTTAATTGGTATTAAGTTTCTGAAAAATGTAAAACAAACCGTTCCCAACCGTATTCAGTAACTCACTACTAATACTGTCTACGATTCAAATGAAAAACCTTAATTTACAATTCTGAGAGAATCTCTTTCAGTAACAGGAATTTTTATAATAGTTGATAATTTGTGGTAGAATATGTGTTTATTTATAGATGGGAAATGACATATACTTAAATCGAGAATAATCTTATATTGATCAAGTAGCTTATTTTCCAGTTTGATGATCTTTGTAAGAAATCGATAATCCTTGGCTTTATAGTACCGATACTTAATTATATTAAAAACAACGTTCCAAATTTCCTTTTCTGATAAATTATTCAACTAGCTAATAACTCGGAAGCTGATGACTGAATCTCATTGTGAATCAAGTATTACTTTTAGTTTTGAATATTTGTCGACATCTACCGTCAATGCGTTTATACATCCTGTCAATGAATAACTTCTTTTCATTTGGTTCATTTACTAATCAATTACATTAATTTATCTCTAGAAGTCTCTTTATACAACATTAAATAACTAAATGAAATAAACACAATTACTTGATTAGAGAAACTAACATGGATTAACTGCTGGACAATAGATTTTCTCAATATCCACCATAAATTTATTGACAGTAATTGAATTATTTTCAAAATAAGCTTTTGATTCTGGATCGAGTACAAGAAGGGAGACTTTTGAAGGATTTTTCAAAATACATTGTACTACCTCTTGATGTTGGTAAGGTACTGAAAAAATTTTTGAAAAGAAAAAATAGTTAATTTGCGTTTGTTTTCTTTTCATTTGTTTGTTATAGATACTCATGAACCAGACATTATATTATCATCCAGTGTTGAGACATAAAGAATGTATTATTTATTAAATGATCAATAAGGAAGACGACTGATAACAAAACGATGATAATGATAGTGAATAATTATCATATGGTATAAATGACTACAGTGAATGCCTTTTATGTTAATTCTTAATTAGTTCAGCTCAAAACTAGAGACATTTTTATAAGTAAAGGTCAATTCAATAAATATGTGGAATGAGCTACTGAGATTGTTGGTTATGAATTACTGATGACCTCCGATGTTAATCAAAACATTGAATAGGTACCATTTTTGGGATTTTTTTCAAAGTCGATTAACTGTCTGAGTACTAACTTATGACTTGGCTTTGGGAAATTTGCTTGTGAAGACAATTCTGGCAAAACGTTTGGGTTTGAAAAATGGTTTGCAAAAATCCTTTCAAAGTATTTGAAACCCAATCTGGTGAGAAGGACAAAATCATGATTCTACAGATAAGACGTTGAGCTGAGACTACAACATCAAATGAATGACAAATGTTAAATAAGGCAGCCATAAAGTCCGATTTCTGATGATTTTCAAGGGCGTTTCGAATAAAGGAAACGCAAATTTAAAAAACGCATTTTGGAAAAATAATATTCATGTACCCTAAATTTTCCAAAATACTGTACATATGACCTCATTTCAAGTATTAATATGATTAACTGTTTCTGATTGGAGTGATTTGAGGCAAATCCTGTCATTACATCATAATTGTCCGTCCGTTGGATTAGTTACAGTATTTGATTTCATATTCATAAAATAAAATATGCCTATGTCTAGGTTCTTTACAGGTGGACAAATCAGAAAATAAATTGTTGAGTAAACATGATAAATTATATTTTATTAAACAGTGATAACCAATCGATTTTAATTTTCTATATACTAAAATACTGATTAGCCGATTTAGAGTTCATGCTTAGCCTTACTGAAACCATTCAATGATTTAACTAACACAGCGTACTATTTTCTCTATAATTCAAAAGGAAATAAGGCAAAATAATAAGGGAGAATAGGTAATGTATGGGAGTTGATAAGTCATGAACATAATATTTCGAGTAGTATCAAAAAAATGTTACGTTTTTGTTGAATACTTTCAAATGACATTTTCTGGATATTGGTAAAACATGAGAAAATAAAAAGAGATTGATCGCAAAACTTGCATCCAAATAATAACCATGTGAATGTAGCTGAACTATAAGTGCAACTATAATTAAGTGACGTTCCTAATCTAAATTTTTTATGTACACAAGACTAAAGTTAACAGTTGAACATTTGTGGGGATCAGTTATTAAGCTCTTTAAATAAGATCACTGTTCAACTCTGACTAATAATCCATTCATTTTAAACCAAGTTGAAAAAGAAAAAAACTTTCGCATATATTGCGCAATATTTAGTCGTAGTAACTTTTCGGAACCATTTATCCTGATGCTCAGCCAAATATTATCATGGACATAAAATGATTGGTTTGTTCTTGAACATCTGACCCACCTCTTGTGTGAGATCCCCAACTTCCTACCAATTAAAAAGTAAAGTTCGTAGCGTTCTGATCTGCGATCCTTTACAGCGTGAAAAATAATCTCTGAAAGCAAAGAACATACTTCAGTTATCAGTATTTGGTCAGAGATTTCTTCGAGGAAATGTCTATTCATGGTTGAACCACCAACTAAGTAGATGATATGGTGAGATGTGGAGTACTACGTAAAAATAACAAAAAAGCGAATCTCTAAACTGTCATCTACTGAGGTGTTTGAGAACCGTTCTGGATGACTAACAATCCCCTATTTTACCACACAATTTTATCTACTGTAGGAGTAGGTTACCAGAAGACTTAGAATAGACAAAAGAAAACATGAGATCAGTTTGTAATATTAATGGCTGTTGAACTGAGCCGCATCGGCGGGTGCATAATTATATGTTTAAGCATGGGAGATAATCTTATTCTATGGTTAGAGACATAGTGAAATCACTTGAAATCAGTCATAGTGTGGTGTAGGCTACTTATGTCCATCAATATAAGTAGCATATGGCACAGATCAGAAGTGGAGTGCCGTTCAGCAGAAAATTGAGAAGATTGAACTGAAGAAAACAGAAAGGGAAACATAAAGGAATTGAGAATTGGAAGAAACACGAAGGATGAAAAGCTTGGAATGCTAATAAATTCGAAATTAGAAAGTAAATACAAAACAAATAGGTCCATGCTATTATTGCACTGAACAAGTACTAAGGTGCAACGTAACAGTGTCTTAGTACATAATGGAAACCGTATATTAAGTACTTTATTTGTACATCATCCATCAGTTGTCCTTCACATTCTGTATGATTCTTCCAGTTCATAATTCCTTTATATTTTCCTCTTATTCTCTTTAACTTGATCTTCTTAGCCTTCTGCTGCTACGTTTTTCACTTCGTATTGGTGTTACATACCACATATGTCTGTTAACATAAGTAGCATATACCACATTAGTACTGCTACCACGATTCTTCCCATTATTATTATTACTACTGTGAATTCTGGAAAACTCTTCCAAAAGATTTTTTTACTCATTTAAACACATAAACATTGGTACAAGAGGGCACCAAATAGATATGTGCCATATGAATCATTCGATTTGTGTAAGGTCTGTGATACTGTCCGGGTGCTCAGACTAAAGCAGGTGGTTTTCTTAGAGGACTACACCTAGAGCCTTTGACCTAAAGGTTTAATCCACAAGGCAGTGGAGCAACGTAAGGAGATGCAGTCCTATGGTCGCCGGCGACCGATGGTTGGTTCATATGCCATTTGTTCTTTCAGGATACTGGAGCCCATGTGCACCATTGGTTTGGAATCATGGTTTTCCAACTCCCTTAGGTAGACTCTCTGTGTCCACTAACCCGGTTAAAGCGCAAAACATTCAATTTTTATCCTCTTAAATTCGTTAAAAACACTCCCTCTGCGAAAATGCAGTGATTAGGTCTTCCCTGACAATGGTTGTATGCACGTGGTCATGTGAAAGCACTACGAGAGGGAGAGCTGACTCTCCTTACTCTCAGACATACCAAGGCATTTAGGGGACCTCTTCCAAAAGATCTTTGGATGGAATATCTTCGGCTCTTTCTGAGCTTCTTAGAGCATCCTCGAGTTCACCCGTTGACCGTCCTCACGATTACCGTAATTTAGATAACTTTATAATCAATATCGCAAAAAAAGCCTGAAATTGATGTTTAAGCTTACCTAAAAATATTAATACATATACATTTCTTATCAGGTTAAATGACATTAAAATGTGAAAATCCTTATATTAATTATTAATAACATTAAGAAGGACCTGAAATACATGACATTGATCATCACCCAGTGATTAAGCAATTGTAAATACAACTCAGTCCTACAGGAAGTCAGTTGCGAAAGGGATAGCTCAGTTGTAACGTGTCTGACTGTGAAGCTGTGTGACACGGGTAGCATCAGTTCCCGCAAGATCACAGATACACCTTGCCGACGAGTGCCAAGTAGCACGAAATCTAAGTTCAGGATTTCCTGTTGACTACCTCCAACGATCATCTTATCTCAACAGTTCAACGATAATAAGTGAAATTTATTGAAATAGTATCAATAAATATATATTTTTTTCAATTTAACAGATTTATTTATTACTTTGTTAGTTATTCTCATTATACCACAGATTGTATGAACCATAAATTGGAAGTTTTCTTCTCAATATAGAAAAATTCATTGTGCATGAAACACAATCTACTTAATATGTTAATAGTATCTGTATCATTATCAATAATACTTGAAACATCAAAGGAAATGAAACCCTTTATAATAATAATTATTATTAAAGCAAACAAACATTTATATCATTGAATTGTCTGAATTTCAGATATAGTTCAATTTAAGCACATGAACAAGTGATTATTTTATTTTAACTCTTTCATTGTTTTTTTTCTTTTTTTAAATTTTTTCTTTACATCAATAAAATTTCTAAAATAAGCAAATCAAATTATTATTTTTTTAACACACACACATGATCATGATGATGAAATTGTTTCTATTTGCTTTTAATTATTTATTGACAATGTAATGCATTATATTTTATTAAGTAAATTTATATGATCCAATAATTAGAATGAACAAATAGATAGTAAGTATAGGATGAGTGGGATTGTAATAATGAACAGAATATTGATTTCCGACATAAATAATTCTTAATAAATAATCTAATCAAATATGATAGAAATATGAAGATTAGAGTATTTAATATGTGATATAGATATGATGTCTAAATTACCACTTAGATACTTACATACTTACATAAATAAGAATTATTTTGCAGATAATTTACATCACGTACTGAGGAATCATTGAAAAATTAAAGAGGATTGAAAAGCTTGCTCGTTTGAAGTTATGACTCTAGAATGGTAACTTCGTTAATTGAAAAAAAGAATGCAATAGGAATAATTAACTTTATGAAACATAGTAAACCTGATACAAGTCAGTGTGTAGTGTCGGTTATTATGTTATGCCCATATAACTTATTCTAGATTTTGAAAAGACCAATTTATTTATTGTTCTTGAATTATATTTTGACATTGTTAACTATTCGCTTATCAATCTTGACTGTTTTTATGTAAGTGTATGTGTGTGTCCTTCTTATCCTATTCATCACATGTATGTAACTTATTTTTGTGTGACTATAAATATCGATTAACGCTTGATTAAATGGAGTTGGCTCACACAACATCTCCACTGCGCGTCATTCCGTTCCTCTGATTGTCTGCTCAAATTAATGAATGTAAAAAGTATACAAATTCAAAAGTCTATCCTCGTATTTGGCTTATTTACCAACGCGAGTTAAGTCAATGAAATATACGAGGATAGAAGATATGTATATCTCAATAGAAATCAGAAACGATCA